ATATATACACATACGTGTGTATATTTATATGGAATATCTTTGTGAAGAAGGTAATCAGTCCTTAAGCTGATCATGTTGACAGCTTATAATAATAATTACACTATAGTAATTATGTTTATTATAATAATAACAACCACAATTAATCTGAGCTGGTCTTCAAATTAAAGAGACTGAGTTCTTTGGAAAGATGACAGTCACAGATAATGAAAGTTGAAAATAAAAAGAAAACACAATGCTCCATAATTAAGCTGTATTCATGCAACTTTCTGTCTTACTATCTAACAAACTTGTGGTATATAAAGGCAATTTTTCCCATCTTTTCCTGATAGAAAAGTGGATAATTATATGACATATTCCACTAAACAGATTCTTCTTTTTTGCTTTGTTCACTTTTCTTTTCTTTTCACAAGCACAGCTTGGCTGGATTTGTCATCATGCATCAATCTCCCCTTAAACTCAGAGGTCATACCAAGCCGATCCTATAGTTGCTGATGCCCATAATTTTAATCGTTGTTGGTAATATATTGAGATGGTACGTATCATAATATGTACTCCACGTTGCTCCTTTGTATTACAGAAATAACATAGTGCAGATGGAAATACTTTGTTTTTAAAGTAGATGATACATTGAGGCAAAAATGGGCAAGTGGGAGGAGAAAACTGGAAAGTGTATTCAGGTCACTTCCAGTAAGTTAACATGACGGAGCACCAAGTGAATTTGACCTTTACCACCCATACTTGGCTTTTTGAAACCAAGTGACTCGTCTACAAAGGAAATAGTTGTGGTTTAACACACATGACTAAAGCATTATTGCATGATTGCAGAGGATTTAAACCTCCCAAAAGATTAGTCATCGCAGACAGGATTCACAGGACTGACCTTTAAAAAGAAATCAGCTATTAAAATGAAATGTTCTGGCCTCCTTTTGTCAGCTTTATATGTGATATCACTTACCTCACTTAGCTCACTTTCAACCTGCTCTTTGTAAATCACTTTTCCCACAGTTTTATATACATTTAACATTTGACCCAGCGTTTTGAGTTTTGGGATGTTTTGAGTTTTGTTGCGATCTTGTGATTATTTCTTCTGCATTAAAAGATGATTCAAGTTTATACTTTGTACTCTTTAGTTAGTTCTTCATAAGTGCATCTGAGTTTGTTATCTAGATTCCTTTATCATAGTTTCTTGTGTTATAATGTTAGTTTTGTGTCTCAGCTTTGTCTCTGTGTCTTGTCCTCTGCGTCTGCTATGGAACATTACCTCTCTGTCTAACCAGTCGTGTCCCTATTTGGTTTCTTAGTCCTTGTCTCAGTGTTTGTTACTGTCACGGTCTGCCAGGAAGTGGGGAAGGAGGACCCAGGCGCGGAGCTCAAAGTTCAAGCAGTGCGTTTATTTACAGAGGGTGATATCAAACAACAATAAATCCCCGTGTTT